CTACTACTACTACTACTACTACTACTACTACTACTACTACTACTACTACTACTACTACTACTACTACTACTACTACTACTACTACTACTACTACTACTACTACTACTACTACTACTACTACTACTACTACTACTACTACTACTACTACTACTACTACTACTACTACTACTACTACTACTTATCAATACTATTTAGCGATCAGCGGTAGTACGACATGGTACGGTGGAGGTTTTTGGAGTTGGAGGGCGTTTCCCATTATAGTCTAACCTTGAGTTGTCGGGAAGCTGCGGCCAGGGGCTGGGAGGAGAAGATGGAAGTATGGTCCACAGAAAACGTTCTAAGCGTTGGGAGGGTGGGTGGGTGGTTCCGCCGCCCACGCCCAGGTAATTCATCCTCCCCTCTCCTCCGCTCTCTACTCGTTTTCGCAAAAGCAGGGCCCTCTTCGTGTTCGTGCTCACTCCCCGAGCCACGGCCGGGTTCATGACTTGGTCGTACGCTTCGTACAACTCTAAAACCGTGTCCACGGAGCCTTTGATCCTTGCTGTGCAACTTTCCTGACCCCGTAGTCGGCGCCATCCCCGTTGTCCCTTAGTCCCAAAGTACATCTGTTTCTCAATCACCCTTTCCCTCCCTACCTCCGCTTCGTGCTGCAGGACTGTGCTCTTTCCGTGTACAAGCCCAACCCTCGGCAGTACGTCGCCAGAATTCCGCAGGTGTGTGTATGCCTGTCTGTATGTATGTTTGTATTTCGATAGGGAATAGTGACAATTTTGCTCCATCCGCCGCCACCTCGGCAGCCTTTTCCTGCATTTGGGGGAGACCACCCCCCGGCCCCGAAGAACCGGTAACCCAATAGGCCGTTAGCCCCCCCCCCGGCCGCACCCACAGTCCTCTGGGGGGCCGGGGGGATCACATGCAAGGAAGCAAGGAATGAAGTGCCGGAAGGCGTCCAAAGTTTTGTAGCTGCTGGGGCCCTCGGGTTGAAGTCACGGACCCAAGTTCTCTGGGGGGTCATATGCCACGTGGCTCCTGCCGTGTGTGTGTATGTGTTTAGCTGGATGCATGTATGTATGTATATATGTATGTGTGCATGTGGTACTGTCGCGTGTAGATTCCTGGGCTGGAGGTTTGGTTCCAGCGTGCCTCTGATGTGGTCCGCAAGCTGCGGTACGGCGACATTGACCTGGGCATTGTGGGCACGGACATGTTTGCCGAGCTGGCCGATGGGGACTCTGACCTCGTGGTCTGTCACGAGGCGCTCGGCTTTGGACAATGCCACCTAGCCCTGGGCGTGCCCATGACGGGTGAGTTGGTGGGGATGGTGCCGTACATGACGCTTGGGGTGCCGTACACTGGGATATACGTGATGGCTGGCTGCTTTCCACCGATGGTTGAGTGGTTGAGGACGAAGGACGACCTGCCCCTGCTGTTCCATGCGCACCACTTCTTCATAAGTTACTTTGGGTTTAAGGGTTTTAGGTGTATAACCCTAAAGCCTGTAAAGCCCTACTCGCACCCACTTCCGACACCGCTGTCCCGACTGACACAGGGGCCGCTAAAGGTCTGCTCGCGACAACGCAACCGACAGATATTACTGTCGGTTGTCCGAAGCTGATAGTAGTTGCAACTTTTGCCACTCCACCCCTTGTCCTGACTCCGTGGCCTCCGCTATATTCCAATCGCTGAACGATGTGAACCAACCGTCAACAGCTAACGGTGCCTATTAAAACCCTCAGGCAAATTCGCCTCCATCAACAGCTTGGAGGAGCTTCGTGATATGCCCGACTGGACCGCTGAGACTCCCCTGCGTGTGGTGACTGGCTACCACAACATTGCGCGTCGCTTCTTTACCGAGCACGGTTTTAAACACGTGGTTTTGCTGTCCGCGGACGGCGCGCTAGAGGCGGCCCCGGCCATGGGCTCTGCGGACATCATTCTAGATCTGGTGGGTTTTAGGGTGTGGGCGGTGATCGGGGGGAATAGGCCTGATTTGGGATGGGATAGGGTTTCTTTTTTTTTGGAATAGTCAAAAGAGACCACTGCCGAATGGAGGCTGTATGTTTAAAGCTACGAGCAAAACCGGCATCTAGGGATGGGGGTTTCGAAGTTCTTTTTTCGGGGATGTTGCCCAGTGGCAGAGTGAAGATTTTGTTAAACAAAAGAAGCGCCAGGCAAAAGCGCTTTAGTCTAACCTAAAGACATGAACACGGGGGTGATGGTATCGGTACGGAGGGAGACGGTATTGCTGAAGCCTGTGTTGGGGGTTCAGAAGCGGGTCGAAGGCGATGGGGCTGCGTGTGTAGGTAAAGGCGGTGCAGATTGCTGCATCTCGCTCCCTTTGCATATTTCTCCCTCGGTCCAACCGCAACCTCCAAACCCCACCCCCCACCGTGAAAAGAGTCTATACTTTGCCCCCCTGCAATTGCTTCTTCGCGCGTACTGAAGGCCTTTACAGGCAGCATGTCATGGCTGAAACAGCCTTCACTTTCTGTGTCCGCACAAAAATGAAGGCCTTTTCAGTTGTATACATCCGGTCAACTCAGTCCACACCCACCCAAGGATTTTAAGGTTGAGACCGTCCTGCTCCATCTGTCCTCGTAGTGCTCCGCTTTCTAGGATTCAGCGCCCTGGCTAGTGTCTTGAACCCCGTCATCCGGGTCACCATGCTTTAGCTCGCGCTTCTCGGGTTTTGCCACCATCAACTCAGCTTGTCTGAGGACACGCAGAGATGTGTAAATTCCCGCTGATCCCTATACAGCCTAATTTTATATCCCTGAGAAGGTATACCTCTATTTGCCGACGCGCTCAGCCTTTCCCATGCCACACGTATCCATTCCCCCAAATTCTCGGGACAGGAAAAACACGTAATTAGCATTACATCTGCGCGATACAAGTAACAGTGTTCCTTAATGCCAACATGCATCACGAAAGATGCGCATGAAGGTTCTCATAGTCATTATCACCTGCCCGTTAAGGTCCTCAAGAGTCAAACACACATCCATGAACACCCAAACCTGCGGCGGTCTCGACTAAGCCTTTGGGCAGAGCCATCATAGCGCCGGTATGCATCACACGCCCAACCCCCCTCACGCGAAGCAGATAGCCGCGACGCCTGGTCACTAGCAATGTTGGTGTGCGTTACACAATGTGGGGTTTGCGCGCAACGAGCTCCCGTGGCTCCTTCTATCCTAAAATTGCAGCGCTGTCTAAGAACGCAAACCCCCTAAAAAAAGAAGTATCGTCTCTGCATTTGGCCATCGAATTACATGTTGCCAATGTGTTTGGAAAGGGGGGATCTACGACACGCTCACCTCTGCAGCCAGCCGTCCTTCCACTATTCGGATTACAGAGCATACACGGTCGCTATCCCGCTCAGCTGCTCGTGGTATTTCCTTGCAGCTGCACAACGACTACGGTCATGTTGTCGCACCCAACACCACGTGCCTCCTTGGGGTCGCTCGCGAGGCAGGCGTCCAGCAGGGCGCAAGCCGCCTGGCTGGGCGTCATGCCTTGATCTAGCCTTGCGCCCACGAAGTCCACTGCATCTTGGTTTGTCATGACGTCCCAGACGCCATCACAAGCCAAAATAAAGAACCGGTCCTCGGGCAACAGAGTAACTTTGCGGATGTCCGGCTGTGCTGTGATTATCTGGTCCTTAGCCGGAAGGTCTGTATTAGTTTTGTACTTGAGATCCCCAATAGCGCGGCTGAGGTTAAGGTTGCCGTTTACGCGGCAAACTCCGCCGATCTCCGAGAGGAAGCCGCCAGCAGCAATAATACGCGTTCGCTCGCCTTCTTGTGCTGGCTTGTGGTCCTCGCTAAGAGGTACTGCTTTGCCAGCGCGGCTAAGGACACCGCGGCTATCGCCTGCGTTGGCCACGTAGAGGTCGGAGCCAAATTTCACCGCCACAACGGCAGTGCAGCCTGCTTGCACCAGCTCTTCTTCGGGGCTCTCACTGCTTTCTTCCGCCTGGCCGCTGCCTCCTTCGCCCATATTGCTGCTATTTCCCACAAAACGCTTCAACTGAAAGACTCGGCGAAGAAGATCCAGAGCGTCAGTCGGGGATACGCCACCCCCCTCGCCGTCCCCATCGTCCTCGTTAGCCTCCTTGCTCTTGAGCTTTTCCAACTCCTCTGCGTACCGTTGGTCGCGCAGCATTTCATCCTGCATAGTCGCGGTCATTTTGGCAGTGTTTGCTTGATAGGCATGCACTTTCGGAAGACAATGACTTGAAGACCTTCTTGCCGAGACCAGCAAGTTCGCATTTGCTTTCAGGTTTGCTAAGAATCCTCGCATCGCCGGGCTTGCGTGCTTGGAAGCGTACCATTCGGTGGAAGACCGTGATGAGGCTGTCCTCAACGCTGCCCTTGCCGAAGTCCTCAAGCCGCTGCAGTTCTGTGGCCATATATTTCTGGCAAAACTTTGCTACCTCGGCACCACCGTGTCCGTCGAAAACGCCGAAGACCGCCACATTGGGGTCGTTCGCGACGTTGACCTCGGCAATGTGCGCATCTTCCATGGTGCGGCGCCAGCCCTGCATAGCGCCTCCTCCAAACCGCAAACCATGGCCATCCCCTTCAAAAACCTCCTTATCAGTAATAGGAGAGGAAAGGTAAGCTCCCATGGCGACAAACTAAGCGTGGTATAACTAGGGCGGCAAAAAGTCGCGGAGTTCACCCCAAGGCCATAACGCTCCTGCCCGCACAGTCCATGGCTGAGTAACCGGTGAATAGTACTGCTAGGTGGGAAGTTCATCGGGTCTCGGAAAGGCAAAAGCTGAACCTGACGGGTACGATTGCCGTACAGCCGCCTTGGGAGTTATCTCTTGCAAACTTATCTGGCAGATTTGTCTTGGCAGCTCTTAACCGGTCTACGTTGCAGACTTGTCTTGGCAGGCCTCGACGTATGGCAAGCAATTCCGTAACTAGCTGTTGTGACTTCACAAAGGAAGGCATGCAAATATTTATTCCGATAACACAATGACATTGCAAGATATTTGATATTCTGCTGGGCTCTAAGTAAAGCTAGCTTTATTTGGTTGCCTTCTCTTTCGGATTCCTGTGTTCGTTTATGTGCGTTCGGCGATCCTTAATGACACTATTATTTAAAGTTTCCTTGGAAAGTGCAAATGCTCAAGTGCAAAACGTGTAGGGCGCATTGTGCCGCAGGCCATGTGGTCAGCTTTGCTGTCCGGAGTGAGTGGTAAAAATGTATAATTCGGAGCATGTGATGCGATCATGCGTAAGCGCTGCGCAAGTGTACCTTGAAAACTGCAGGGGTACAGTACGCAGAGTCTCCCAAAATTCTCTGTAGATGGCCATCGGCAAACATGTTTAGAAGCGGTTCATATGAAAGACGCAAGGGAACGGGGGTTTGAAACAAGGCCTCACGACAAGCAGGCCGTTTGGGCTCGATAAATGTCTTCAGCGCACAGCCGGGAATGCCTCCGCGTACAGTTGACATGTACATCTACCTCCTCCCCATTGTTTCCGCCCATCCCTTGTCGCATCCCATGAGGGTGGAGGGCGAGGGAAATGCAAGCAGTGGAGAATGCAACGAGGCATAGAACGGGCCTTCCCCGGATGAGTGGAGCTATAAATCCTGTGTTCTGCCGCGCGCAAAAAAAAGGCAACCACATAGAATTTAAGAGTAAAACGCGGCAGATCACGAGGAACCGCAGCAGGAGGGCCAGACACCTCGACAGATGAAGATTAAAAGCTATGGCAGTCCGCAGGGGCTTGTTATTGTTCTCTTTCCCTACGTTCCCACGGAAGGCGGGTGGGGGATTGGCAGCAACCCAACTTCAACTCCGGTCCCCCTGGCTTGCGATGCTCAAACGCGCGGGGACTGTGATCCAGGCCGCGGTCCATATGATGGCGCCAAGATTACCATGTGCCGCGCCTATTCATGTTCCCCCCCCTCGGGCCATTGCGTCATTACTTGACCCACCACCTCGCCCTGCTACTGGTACTCCCCTCCTGTCTCACCGATCCTCAAGTTTGCACCATCATAGGATTCTGCCGAGGGGCCCCTTCCCGGGCTCCCCCACGCACACGCACACGCACACGCCGCCCCAGCCTGTCGCGCGCTAACACACTTGTACTGCAACAAATCGCACTGCTGCAGGTCAGCACGGGCGTTACGCTGCGCGAGAACAACCTGAAGGAAATTGAGGGCGGCAACATTCTCGAGTCTCAGGGCATGCTGGTGGGCAGCCGGAAGTCCCTGCTGGCGAGCCCCGAACTGCTGGATGTGGGTCTGTGCGTGTCGGGATGGGGATGGGGATGGGGATGGAGATGGAGATGGAGATGGGTACACTTCTTGTGTGGGTCTGTACGTGTCGGGATGGGGATGGAGATGGGGATGGAGGTGGGTGCACTTCTTGTGTGTCACTTAATTACATGGGTGATGCCTTTAGTGATGACTTTGGTTAATCATTAACCGAGTCAGGGAGCCGAGACTGGCCCAGGGGGGGGAGAATTGGCACCGGGCTCAGGAACTTGGGTACTCGGGGAAGTTGCGTCTGTGTCTGTGTCTGTGTCTGTGTGTACATGAGTGCATGTGAATGTTGAATGAGGTTACGGTGTGGATTCGAACAGAGTAGTGGCAGTAGTAGTGGTGGTGCTGTCCGCACCTATGTATGTAACCCAAACAAAGTATGTATATAGTTTATGTATGTTGCAAGTTGCAAGTTCCGCATAAATGCGGGGGCCGTCCGTAAAAGTTGGGGGAGCCATGTATGTATGTATGTATTGGCCGTTAAAGGCACTAAGGCTACCATGTACCTGTAAGGGGAAAGAGGAAGAGGGAATGGGGGGAGGAATAAGGCTGTGAGTGTACAACAGAAAGACGATGAGAGAAAGAGAGAAAAAGCGTTACGAATTTAGGGCCCGACAGCGCGTACAACACCAATAAGTGGTAGTACAACGCCGCCTTGGTACACACACACACACACCTCCTCTTCCCCCGTGCGAAAACCTCCAGATCGTGCATGAGCTGATTGAGCGCTTCGACGGGCACCTGAAGGCGGAGCAGTACTACTCGGTGATCGCCAACATGCGGGGCAACTCCCCTGAGCAGGTGGCGGATCTGCTGCTGCAGGCACCCGGACTGCAGGGTCTGCAGGTACGTACACACATACACACACATATACACATACACACACACATACACACACATATACACACACGCACGCACATGTCCCCGCAGGGCCCCACCATTTGCAACGTCTACAACCGGAGCCCCCAGGCTGAAGGCGCCAAGCAGCACTTTTACGCGGCTACCATTTGTGTACGGAAGAAGCAGCTGTACGGAGCAGTCAAGGCGCTGCAAAAGGTGGGCGTTTTAAAGGGGGGCGGGAGGAGGGGGAATCCATCCGGCGGTAAGTTAGAGTGGCATTCAGTCAGCCACGGAAGGGGGGAGTGTCGCGAGCAACACAGGAGTTTCTCAAGGCCATTTGGAATTCCTCTTTACTACCCGACCCGACCTTTGAACGTTACTTTGAATGTAGTGAAGCACGCAGCATTAGGGCCCTATCTTCCGTAATCATGTTTTCATCATTACTTGTCTAACGCTCTGGTGCATATTCCTGGGATGCTGCGTCGTGCTGTGTGCGCAGTTGGGCGGTAGCGGCGTGCTCGTCCAACCCATGACGTACATTTTCGACGAGGAGCCAGCGCGTTGGACAAAGCTGCTGACTACCCTCGGCCTGGACCCTGCTCGTTACAACGGTAACGGTAACGGCAACGGTGCCGCCCACTGAGGCGGTGGCCGGTCCACTACACCGTTACACTGCCCCGCTGTTGCAAGCACGGCACGGTACGACACGGATATCCCCTCTTCGGGCTCCCCCTACCCACCTACCTCCTACACACATGCTCACACGCGATTGCACTCACAAACATACATGCAGACAACTACATTGACGTGTTGCGGCACGGTGTTCCAGCATTCCCGGCCTTCTTCTGGCTGGTCTCTGTTCCCGTTTGTTCCTCCTGGCCCTCGTGTCTAAATAGGGGTTCCCGTTACGTCACCTCCCTTGGGGAGAAGGGTAGTAACGCGACTCCAGAGGGTGTGAGACACACATACATACGTACATACATTATCATCATCGTTGTATTTTGGAGGCCGGCCGTGGCGTTGGTGTCCCCGAAACTACGTAAACCCCGATACGACACAACGGGGATGTAGTACATGTATGTGAAGAATGTGTGTTTTCGCGCTCGTGGTTGGATTTGGTAGGGGTATGTAGAGGTTCTCTTCGGACAGCGGCGTGTGGAGTAGTAGTTGTGGTGTTCTGCTTATATTTCTGCGGCTCCCTTTTGGCCGTGTTCGTGCTCGTCCTCGTCCTCCTCGTATTTGTTGGGTCGTCGTCTACGTCGTGTGGATTTGGAGGGTGATCTTTTTGGAAGGCGGGAAAAGGAGGGGGGAGGGAGGAGGGGAGCGGATGCTACTTCTTTACCATCGCGGGTTAGTGCCGGGCTTGAGTGTAGTGTAGGTTGATCAATCAGGGTTCTGTGCGCGTGTACGTATGTATGTGTGTTTGTATATTGTGTTCGTGGTGTGTTTCAAGTGCACGGTGTGTAATGAGTGTACGGCACGGTCGTACGTCGTGAATGTATATGTGTGTGCAGATGGGTGCCGCAAACCTAAGGAGATATTGCCTTCAGTGCCGCATTCAGCATGCAGCCAGGAACGCACTTGGCCGGGTGGCTTAGGTGCTGGCGATGTACCCCGAAGCTTCTTAAATTCTCCCCGCGTCGAAATCCCCAGGGGGAGGGGGAGGGGGAGGAGGGCGCGTGGTCGCTCAGCGGTGTTGAGGGGATGTGGTGATGGGGGCTTTAGTGGTGATGGGCCACCCGCCCCAACGCGATGGCGTCACATGTTGTGCGGATGAAGGCACGGGGGAAGAACAAGGCCGGCTGCTGCGTACGAGTACGAGCACGAGCACGCATAAATACGGAAAGGTGTGGCATGATTATATTGTTTGTTAGCAGTAGTGATTGTAATTGACTCGATTCAGTGACTCTTGGACTTGAATAAAAGTTTGGAAATTTAAACTCGAATTACAATGCAGGACAGCAGGACCGTACAGGCGAGACCATTCCACAGCCAAGACATGCACAGGAAGTGATGCTAAAAATAGCACCACAAGCTTTCGCCGCCGTGTTAGGTTCCAAATATACCACGGACATAGTACGACATAGTACGGCATTACGACAAAGTAAGCGGGACACCAGCAACCATCACACGTTTATTTTAACATGTACGACAAGATACATTTCTATGTGCGGCAGTGCATGAGAGCAAATTAATCGCTCTACGTTGCAAAAGCAGAATCTCTCAGAATTTCATTTAGTTTCAAGCGAAAACACGGACACACGCGCACATACATGCATACATATACACACACACCTTGTTGTGGCGTATGTCTGTGCTGCGTGATGGTTGCACCGCGAAGGGTTCCACACAACCACCTTAGTACCTCCGATCACAATCACCCCATTCCAATCATTATTACAAGCCAAGACGGAGAGGGGCATGCAGTTCTAGTCCAGAGTTGTACGAGAATGCGAACCCTAGGGTGCATCCCTCACTGCTTGTGGCGGTGGTCACTGTTGTGTGTCCGTACTTTAGTTCGGATGGGTTATGCCCTTCAAATACTCATCCAGTATGCCACAAATTATGATGCACATATACGCTTACGCAGACGCACACGGCTGCTAACCAACAAGCGAGTACGACAATGTCAGCAGCGCGACAGTACGGCAATGCCTGGGGCCCCTTCGGGGGGCTACAGCTATAATCCGCACTGCATGCAGTTTTCGAGCGCGGCAAAATTTTGGGGGAAATGCAGTTGGGAATGTGCAACCGGATTTCCAACCAGGCAAACAGACATATGGACAGAGAGCACGGGGCGGGCAGACAGACGAGTACAAAGCAAGGTGAACGGGTTACGCGTGTGCTCTGCCCACCATAGCCATGTTAATACGCCAACCACCAAACGAGATATTACAAGATCGAAACAGGTAAGCACCTAACCGCCGGACGTCCTGCTATGCACGACCCACAACCAAACATGGTAACGGTTGGTGAGAGACGGTACGACACGCCAACGTTCCTCAAAGAGCAGTAGCATGGGAAACGTGGTCGTGCCAACACAACACAAATACACACACGGGGCACGTGATGTCACGCCCTGCCGTACCCCGCACGAACGTTCCAAAAGCTTTGTACACTCACCTACTCAATATGCACACACATGTACGGCACACACATCTCCTGCTTGCGGTAGATGGCCAGGCGATTCCGCTCCGGACGGCATACACTGTACGAGGCAGTACGGCCGTACGACAAAAGTACGAACCCCAACGGATGACCAGCCCATGAAGTGTAAGCTCATGCATGCGCACGCCCCACACCACAAACGGCCGTCAGAGCACACATGCACACGTACATACACACAGACATACACACAGACACACAGCCACCTGAGAGTGGCATGCCTTGATGGTTAACGCAATTTAAACGTCTGTAAAACACAATGACATCATATTTTGCGAGATAATGCGAAGCAGTTCAAGTTTTGGCATGCGGAAATCCGACTGAAGACTGGAACATGGCGGTGCACATCATGCGGGCGCGGAGGGAAACGCAGTTCTGCTGCTTCAGCAGCTGAAGCTGACGCTGCTAATATCCCCCAGGAGGGGTAAGCCCGGGGAGATGGGGATAACGAATGCGGCTGATTAGCGCGCGTGTGTGTTTTACCCCCCTTTCTTTCCCGAAACCGATAAAACCTCAGTGTTCGGAATTGGTTGCCGGCCATCTCCATCTCCAGGCAGACATACATAAAAACGCACATACATACATGCATACATACATACATACATACAGGTGGTACCGGGGGACACGGGAGGGCAGATGGTAGTCTCCATCCCTGGGTCCGGACGCTCTCCGCCTATATGCTGCTCACCCACCCCGCCTTCCAACCGTGGGCCCTGACGACCGCCAGCCAAGCCGGGCCCCGGCTCGGCGGAAGCGACCTACCCACGGATATCAGCCGGATTGTGGGCGCCCTGGGACACCTACCACCGCTCCGGGATATCGAGACCAGCCCCTTGTCCCCCGGACCGTGGTGCTGGGCAACCGCGTTGTGGGGTAACCCGTTGCTCCCCAATACCGGCGAGGCAGACCCAGACAGTTTGAACCGCCGCCCGGGCCTGGAGGCGCACTTCGTGGGGAT